GGAGAGGGAGGGAGAAGAGTCTTGCGACATCCCAGGCCATGATCCAGGGGTTCCAATGGAGAATGTTTTTGGCTGAAACTCCTCAACCCTGGCAGAACATTTTTTCTCCCCCCTGGGGCTTGGGGAAGACTGAGGAAAGACCAGAGCTTGGACTGACTTCCCCAATCTGAGATCCTCATGCAAATAAGAACTCAAATTCTGCCAAGTCAATGAATGTTGGGTGCATTGCGCTGCCTGTGTGTTATGTGTTGGTTTGTTTTACCTGCCCCCTACCCAACCAACTTACTCTCTGTTTCTAATCCCTATATTAGCTCAGTAAAACAAATGAAAAGAGGTTGATAGAAGGTAAGGACAGGAGAGTTAGCTGTACTTCCTGTCCTGCCTCCCAAGGAAGGAAAAGCCCTAAAACTTTTCTTTAGGTAGAATAAGAAAGCTTTTCTTTTGTTGGGGCAATAAATATTTCTTTGAAAATCTAATGACATTTTGATCCCTGAAAGCCTTAATCCCAGGTTAAGAAGTACTGCCTTGCTATAGGGTTCATCTTTTCAATCTCTGTCCTTGCTATAACTCCCCCTTCCCACCTGTCTAGGCTGACTCCACAACCACAATGCCTCTCTCAGGAACCCCAGCCCCCAACAAGAAGAGGAAATCCAGCAAGCTGATCATGGAACTCACTGGAGGTAAGGGATATTTATTTGAACCTATCGTGGAACTTCTTATTTAGAGCATCCCCAGCCAAAGAGTCCCAGAATTATTATAAGGTTATATATGTCTTAGGGTAAAGAGATGTAGAGACAAAAGGAAGAGAGGTGGTGGTGGGGTCAAGGGACCCAGAAGAGCAGGGAGAAGGAAGGAGGGAGGATTTAACACTATTTACTTTCTACTCTTTCACTTTATAATCTGAAGGTTCTGCCTAGGAGGTTTCTGTGCCACAGACATTTTCAGAGCAAAAATTTTTGCTACTCAGCTAGTTGTCTGTTAGGCAATTTTGCCTTAAAAAAAAAGATAAAAAAATTAAAAGAGGGACATCTTTATTTTACACAAGTTTATTTTTACATCATTTTGTACTTTTTTTCATTTTTTTTCCATCTCAATTGTAATCCCCACAGGTTTCCCATCACCAAGTCACCTGTGTGCCATCACCATAATCCCGTGCATTCCCACCGCCCCCCAACCCCGTTTTTGATCCCATTCCCCACTCCACCCCCACAAAATGTCTCTGGTATATGGTTGTTCATTATTTTTGTTATTTTCAAAAGAGGGACATCTTTTAAAAGGACATAATGAAACAACTTTTCACTAAAATTTCTTCCTTTATTAAGAGAGGTATTAGTCTCCACATACTATGATGAATACTTGTAAATGAGCTTTGTATTTTATTGTGAAAACTTTTGAACTGTTGACAAAAGAGGCTGATGTTTCTTATCATTCTATAAAATATGTATCTAGTAGTACATATCTGGATGACATTTGAATATTCCTTCAAATACTTAGTCCTTTTATCACACCAAATCATCTAAGCTGGACTGTGTGCCAAATAACAAAATTCTGTCTACATTTATGGTGTTTTGTTAAGAATCACATAACCATTTCTTTTAGGGAGGGTAGGAGGAGCTTGGTTTTTGCTTTCTAACAACATGGTAAAGATGGCATTAGAGAAAAAGCTATTGTATCTAAATTAGCCAAAGAATTGATAATTAATTCTTTGATGGTAAATTACTAGCTTTTATATTTTCCAGAGCTTGATAAACTTTTGGTTTTGATGGGTGGGAGAAATGACTGCTCAGTGAGGATTTGCCACTGTTATCATTTTCTTACAGTGTAGGATACAATCTGGTTTTACATGCTTGTTTTACACTTCCTGTAAGTTTTATCACTGTATCTTTATAAGATGGAAGTACCTACATCAGTTGGAAAAACAAAAAGTATTTTATGGTTTACGGCAAAATTGCCTTGTGGACAATTAATTATGTGGTGAAATGCAGCACGAAAAATTCTGTGGCAAAGAACTTATAGTGTACCTGCTGGACACGGCAATCAGAGAAAACAATACATGACTCTATTATCTGGCACAGGCCCAGGGCCACTGACCCATAGGCCTGTGAGGTATGTTTGATGTGGGAAATACATATTACAGTGACTAGTACAGATTAAGTTCACAGTGAATAGTTAATTTCCTTACTTATTTTCCCCAGGATTAAGCACCTGTGTGAGTGCTTAAAATGGAAGACTGGGGCCTCTCTGGTGGTCTAAGAGTTAACTTTCATGGCTCTCACTGCTAGCTAGGGCCTAAGTTCAATCTCTGATAAGGGAGTTAACTTGCATGTGGCACAGCAGACCTTTCCTGTCTTGCCTGCTTTATTTCAGGCCATCTGTCTGTTCTGCTCTCTACTCTGTCTCTGGGGACTCCTCTCTCTCACACACACCCCACCTTTTGCCTACAACCTGGCGGGGGGTGGGGGTTGGTAGTAGGAATACAAACATGTGAAGAGCTGTCCCATTTAGGGTTGTTTGCAGCCAGTGTACACTAAAGGGAAGAGAAAAGAAGGGAGTTAAGACCAGGGACTATGTTTAGAGTTGGCCAACTCCATGTGGTGTTAGCTTCTGTGCTTTCCCTTGTACTGTGGTTTCCCCAGTGGCTTCTGCCTGGGATGATACTTTGCTTCTTTTGCTCCAAACCCCATGCCCATTCTTCTGGTACTTCATTCATCCTTTCTACTGCAATATCCCCACTGGCTCCACTTTGTGTCCCATTTCTAAAGCATTTTCTCCAACTCCAAATGCAAAAATACCAAAACCCCTCACCAACTAGAGAAATTTGATCAGCTGTCATAGTGTCTGCTCCCCTCAGTGATCTCTGCCAGGACATAAACACTTAGTTGTGGTTTGTGAATGTATTCTGAACCCAGAAAATTCTACTTTCCTCTTTCCCTCGCCTTTTGATCCCCACCTCCCTGAAAGAGAGCACAGGCCTAAACCTCGGCAAGAAGATCAGTGTCCCAAGAGATGTGATGCTGGAAGAGCTATCATTGCTCACTAATCGGGGTTCCAAGATGTTCAAACTGAGGCAGATGCGGGTGGAGAAATTTATCTATGAAAACCATCCTGATGTGTTCACTGATAGCTCAATGGTAAGTGTGGAACATTACTGTTTTTAAAGCCTACTGCCTCTTCTGATAGCTTTCTTGGGAGGGCCTGAATTTCCAAAATACCACCAATCTCCCCTCCTTGCAAATTTTAACCCTTGTATTTCTCAAGTCCCCCATCGCTCCAGGGTGAGATACAATCCACCTCTGAAGTTTGATCTCTATCCTAGACCCAGTGAAAGGAGGTAGAATTTATCTGCAGAAATTTCCTTCCTAGTATGGGTAAGTGTTAAAAGATTGGGTTTCCAGGTAAAATACAGTACACCATTTGTGTATTTTAAAGTTGAGATGTACATGAGTAATATTTTCAATAGGTTGTGACAATCAATATGCAAGGCATACAAATAAAAATCATTCACTTAAATTTGAATTTCAGGCTCACATAAATAATTTTTATCATAAGTAGGCCCTATGACTATTTGATACATCAAAATTAAATTAAATTAAAGACAGGACACCCAGTTAAGTTGAAATTGTAACTATATTAATATTTTAAAAATATAGATGTCTCATGCAATATTTTGGGCAGACTTATACTAAAAAAAGCATTTGTTGTCCACCTAAGATTCAAATTTAACTACTTATTTACTAGATCTGACAACCGGAGAATGAATTAGGTAAATTTTCATAACCAAATCCTTTTTGAGCCAGTCATTTGTTTAAAGGGTCTGTCTAATGACCTCAGAGTAAGGACCAAACTTTAAAATCCTAAGTTCCTGAGTCAGGGTCCTTCTCAAAAGAAAGAGAAATAGAGACTGGAGCAGGGCCAGGCACAAAATGTTACAGCTGAGAAGGGGATCGTCTCCATTTCCTTTCTTCCCCACCTTCCCTGGGCAGCTGGGGGAGAGTGAAAATAGGTGGTTACATGGAGCCAGGGCAGAAATATCTGTTATTGGCCCCTACAAAGGAGCAGAGTAAAAATGCTGAGTTGGTTATATCTAACTTTAGGAGGCCAAAAGCCCTCCTCTCTGCCTGGGTCTGGTTACAGTGGGTGGAGCATGGCTACCCAGTGGAGGCAGAGGAGTCTCCTGAAGTAGTTGGCAGCATTATTTTTAGGCTTTGGAGCTGAATCTAGTGTTGCCCTTTTGGTTGCCACTACAGTTTCACTGTAAATAATAAGTCCTGATGCAATAGGCACTGAAAGGAGAAGGAGAAAAAGAGAATGAGAGTTCTTTTAGACAAGACGAGGAGTAGAAAGGGACAGATATTTCTACATCTTCCACTTCAGGTTGACTTCTCCAGGCCAACCCATCCTCTCAAATTTTAGTTGATCAGAAGTTTTGTACCTTCCTACCTTGGTAAGGATGGAGATGTGGAGAATGAGTTGCCCTGTTCTAAGGTATAATTAGAGAAAATGAGCCAAAGTAGCCTTACCTCTTATGGAGAGTTTAATTCCTTTCAGTGAATCTATCTACTATCCAAACACTAGAGGGGGGAATCTCAGAGAACTCAGTGACACTGGCTAGCCCTTGCCCCTGCTCACCTCCTTACTATGCATACCTCTGTCTCTGTACATTCCCGATATCATTGCTAACCTTCCCCTTACTTTGTCCTTTCTTTTCAGGATCACTTCCAGAAGTTCCTTCCCACAGTGGGGGGACAGCTGGGCACAGCTGGTCAGGGATTCTCCTACAGCAAGGGCAGTAGTGGAGTCCAAGCAGGGGAAAGTGGTTCTGCTGGACAGTATGGCTCTGACCAGCAATATCATCAGGGCTCTGGGTCTGGATCTGGGGGTACAGGTGGTCCTGGGGGCCAGGCTGGAAGAGGAGGAGCTGCTGGCACAGCAGGGGTTGGTGAGACAGGAACAGGCAAGTATCTTAATCTAAAGAGTGATGTATCTGGTCCCTACAGCAGAGATATCCCCAGGAACAAGGTTTAGACTGGGTGTAGGGAGGAGGAGAGGCCTGCTGGAGTATCTGGATGGATTCTCTGGGTCCACGGGGGGATGCAGAGATGTGTCTTTCCACGCAGAAACCCTTTATATCACTTTTTTTATGTTTTAATTTCAGTTACAGATCTGTCCCCAAGCTGTCATTATTCCACAAAACTTAAAAAATTACCAAACCTTGGCAATTGTTTTTTGGTCCCTGTTCCCAGCAACTTCCCTAGTGCAAGGTGTTAGACTGAATTTAATTGGCTTCTCACTGCTACTATTTGACTTGCTTTCTCTCCTTTGACTGTCAGGAGACCAGGCAGGTGGTGAAGGAAAACATATCACTGTATTCAAGACATATATTTCCCCATGGGAGCGAGCCATGGGGGTTGACCCTCAACAAAAAGTGGAACTTGGCATTGACCTGCTGGCCTATGGAGCCAAGGCTGAACTCCCTCAATATAAGTCCTTCAACAGGTAGGGGTGGAGGGAAAAGAACCAAATATGTTACATTGTGTTGCAAGCCATAGTCAGGATGGAAGCTTTGGTTCAAATGTTTCAGGAGGCCCAGGAGGGATGGAATGCTTTTGCGGTTTCTAACTGGAGTTTATGTTCTCTTTGCTCTGGCCTAGAGAAACTTTGTAGTATGATGAAGGAAAACTTTGCTAAGAGGTAGGAATTGAATATTAGCTCATTGGCCATTTATTAGCCATTTAGGAATGAGAAAGTTACCCTACTTCTGAGGTTTGATTGCACTGACTATAAAATGGGACTAATATTTTACACATCTAAAGGCCTTTTAGTATTTTGGCATTGGGCTTCTTCTCTTGACTGTGGATAAAAGAGATCAGTGGTGTGGAAAGCATGATAGATGGGTGCTGGAGAAATGCTTTTGCATTTGGTCTTCAAGAGGCTGTTTTCCAGGAAATATAATTTCTTTGAGTCAGACCATTCACTGGAGATGGGGTAGGGTTTTGGAGGGAGGGTCTCTACATTGTAATTTAAGACCTTGGATCTATAATATCTGGGTTCATTTCCTCTGAAATGCCTACCTAAGTCACAACTACCCATGAAACTCTTATACTAGGTATCTTTTACTCCATTATTAGCTATAAGGAACTAACAAACATGGAAAGGGTAATGGAATACTAAGAAAGAAGAACGAATGTGGGAGCAATCTCAAACTAGAATTCACAGACTTCCCTATTCTCAAAACAGGGTAATATCCATTGATAAAGCTCTGTACATTGTATTCTGTTTTTTAATTAATGTATCCCCTTCCTAGGACGGCAATGCCCTATGGTGGATATGAGAAGGCCTCCAAACGCATGACGTTCCAGATGCCCAAGTTTGATCTGGGGCCCCTGCTGAGTGAACCCCTGGGTCTCTACAAACAGAACCTCTCCAACAGGCCTTCTTTCAATCGAACCCCTATTCCCTGGCTGAGTTCTGGGGAGCCTGTAGACTATACTGTGGATATTGGCATCCCCTTGGATGGAGAAACAGAGGAGCTGTAAGGTGTTTCCTCCTGTTCTGCATCAAGTTTCCCTTCTCTGGTTCCAATTTGGAGAGGAATGCTGAGCAGGATATCCTTTCAGTAAATCCAGTATCCTTGTGGGGATGCAGAGAAAAAGAAGGGAGAGCTCTACCTTTTCAATCTTTATTCCAAGTCCCCACTTCAAGCATCCTTCCTCACCAACTCAAGAGCTCTCTTTCTACTTGCTTTGTATGGGACCTGCTCTTTTATGGAATTAACTCTGCCACTGGTAACAGTCAATAAACTTTAAGGAAATGAACTCATTCTTACTCTGTTATTTAAGGGCTGATGAAAACTTAGTCTAACAAGGCACAGAGACTAATTAAAGTCAAATACTAAATGTTCGTTATTCAGACTTCAAGACCAGACATGATTTCTGGTTGTTTATACACCCACACCCATACCCACACCCATGAAACCAATTCATAGATATATACAAAGACATACTTATTCAGTGGCATATAAGACAAACAATCATGCACAAACACATGTGTTGGCCCAAATATGGGGGAAGTGAAGCTCTTATGTACTATGGTTAGGAAATATATGTTGATGACCCTGGTGTTGACTCTACTTAGTTGGTTAGAAATTGGGGTAGAGTATGCCATAAAATTTCCAGATGACATCAGACTGGGTTTTGGGATATATGCGTCAAATTCTATAGATTCCCCCAAATTTGACTATTATGTTGGAATCCAGAAGCCAATGAGAGAAATCAACTACAGTTCTAGTATACCTGACTCTGTGTGAGCATAGTTAGAAAAGCACTTAAGGATTACAGGAGCAAAAAAGCACTGTGATTGGGAAGAAACCATAATATAAGCCTAACTAGAATGAGCAATAATACTCTTTGAATTTAAGCATGGAGTTTTTTATTTAAAAAAAAAATGCATACTAGAACTAGGGTACAAGCCAGAGGTGTGGGGTTGGTGGGAGGTGGGGGTGAATAAGAGGATTCACCAGAGACATTGGGGAGCAAGAACAGGCAGAAATACATACTGAGGGAAGTAGTAGGCGAGACAGGAGAGGTCTGCTGCACCAAGCCTGGGGTTTCTTTAGAGGCCTATACTTCTGTTTCATAGATTAAGAGTGATACAGACCTGGAAGAACAAGAGATGACTTAACATGATCTGGGAAAATCACTCCTGAGGAGAAATGGCTGACTTACTATGTATATTGTGAAATGATCACAGTGAGTCTGGCCAATGCTCTTTAAATCCACCTTCTGTTCCAGATGCTGCTCAAGCAGTCTGAATTTACATTTGTCCAACAGCAAAGAGAAAACGCCATACATATCATGAATTGTGTATGCAGGGATGCAAGTTAATAAAAGTTTAAACCACACACAAAAGAGATCCAGGACCAAAATACCTGTGCTTCTATTTTTTTTTTTTTAACTTTAATTTTGTATTTTGGGTTGGCGAAGTGATGGGTATGAGACACCTGTGGATAAAAACAAAACCAAAGCACTTCTGTGAAACCAAATTCATATTTGCAAATCTGTGTAGGGAGAAAACCTATGAAAACTTTTCCAAGGAAGAGAACGCGGAAGGTCAGTTTCTCGATCTCCACGCCACAGAGGGAAATGCCAGGAACTTTAATTAAATGCAACAGAGCTCTAAGTTTGAGGCGCTTGAGGAAATACGACTACAACCTAAAGTTTTCTCAACGTAGGGTTTGCCAAACCAACTTCCCTTCGCCCAGACTATTCCAACTGCAATAGTTTCCCGACTCTCGGGACAAATCGACCGTCTTTCTCGCGGTCCAGGCCTTCAAAGAAATACCTCGCGGCCGCCATTTTACACAGTATTATCGCGAGATAGAGAAGCCACCGGCTGCTTGACTCATTTACTTTCTTCCGAGAGGCTTTTCTCGGTTGTTCTCGCTGTAGCTGAGGAAAGTGTCGCGAGAGTTGGTTGCCTTGGCTCCCTGTAGCTATAGCAGCCGCGGCGGTTAAGGATGCGGCGGCAGGAGCGGTGAGTGCGACATCCTTAGGGAGGCGGGGCCGGAGGTAACGGGGTGCTGGGGGTAGCGTCTAGGGAGGGGGTGCGGAAGGTCAGGTGTCGGGAGGAACGGGCCCAAGTCTGACGTGTGTACCTAGGTCCAGTAGCTGCAAGAACCCTCCCTGCGCCAGTTTGCACTAGGGGCACGCGGGCTGGGCTAGAGCTGCTGGGAGGTCCTGGAGGAGGGAACGGGGTGTAGTTGGGTTCAAGGGGCAGAGGCTGGAGGAGCATGGAAGGGTGTGTTTGTTGAAGGCTAGAGGGCTATTACCAGGACTCGGAACTGGATTAAAGGACCGGGCTACATCGAGGAATAAGTGGGAAGAAATGGGGTACAACGAGGAGGAGGGTATGTTGAACCGGAGCACGGAGGATGGGCCCTGTTTGCTTTACACCGGTGGGGAAGGAGTAGTGGTACCTTCACAACTCCTGGGGTCCTGGACTGGTTGCGACTACATGCCAGAACTTGGGTCCTAAATTGCGTGGCAGGAATGGAGGCGTCCTGGCCCTTGACTACTGACGAACAACCCCCCGTCCCCCAATTTCTTCTCTCTCCAATAAATGTCCATGTGGTCGAAGAAGTGAAAGGAGGGACCTGGTAAATTAGTGATAGTTGGGAAGGTTCTGTTGGTGGAGATACAGTGAGTGGGATAATGAATGATTGCTGCTCTAAAATAAAGTGTTGGGTGGGGGCGGGAGAGAAAAGTTGAGAAAAAACCCTGAGACTTGCTTCCTCTGGAGTGTACTGAGATGGCAAAGGGGGTGTGTGTGCTAAATTCACGTTTCTTTCCAGATTCATTGAAGTGTAGAATTCCTTTACGGTATTCTTATGAAATTACATATGCAGTGTAACAGTTTAAATGGTACATGAAAGAATGTGCAGTAACACACTTAAATCTTCCTTGAATGTAACTTAAAAACACCGAAAAGTGTTTCTATTGCCAGAGCTGCAATCTGAACACTAGGGATAAATTTATTTACTTGAATTAAAACCTAGTGTTCCCAAAGTTCTGAATTTTGCCTTTTACAAAATAAATTTTTCTTGGATTATCGCATTATACCTGTAGGTTTCAGCTGTATCAGGTTTTTTTAAGAAATGCATGATTGGTGGATATGGTGTGGTACATACATTTATCAAGGTGTGAAAGTGCTGTCTTGAAACTAATATGGTATGGTAAATCAACAATGTAAAAAAGAAAAGAAAGAAACGAACTTTTGTTTTAGGAGACAAAAAATGTTTCTGTCAATCTAAAAATAAAAGGAGCCTCTCAGGAGTTAAAATCAACAAAAGGGCCCAAACGTGTAGTTTCTTCTTCTCAAAAAGTTTTCCTGGAGACAGGTTGGGTCAATTTTCTCATTAACTTTTTTTTTTTTTTAAAGATTTATTTATTTATGGATACAAAACTGGGGTACGGGTCAGAGGTGCAGGGGAGGTGAGAGGATTCACCAGAGACAGATTGGGGAGCAGAACAGGCAGACTGATGAAGTACACTGCTGAGGGAAGCAGGTCAGGAGCGGTATGCTGGGACATGTGGGTCACCTCCCTGGCTAGGGATAGACTGTGCTGAAAGAGCTGTGACTACCTTCATAGTACTGTGCTTTTATCCAATGGGTCACCAGGGAGGGCCTTACTCATACTTTTATTTAAAGTGAAAGGAGTTGGCTTGATTTCAATTCAGGCATAAAAAATACTTACCTAGGTACAAGTTTTCTGATGATTTTTGTCAGTATAAATTATGTTTTGTAACTTTGTAGCCTTATATAGATATACTTTTGCCAGGGATAAGTGAATTTTTTTCCATGTTGAGGTTCACAAATTCAGTAACTAAAATAGTGACTTTTAAATCCTATAGTTAGTCTTGTTGTGGTTAATGATTAAGTTTATTTGTTTGGTATGTGTTACAATAAGACTTTTAGTTGCTAATATCAGTAACTAAATTTTAATGTAGAAGTGCTTATCTAAATAGTTGAAGCTTTATGTGGTTAATGGAAAATATTTCTTCATGAATTCACTAATGAGCTTTACTGAGTTCCTATTATAGGTAGAATACTATGTATGGTATTTCAGGGGAAAAAAGATTAGTTGATTAATTTATCCATTCAACAAACGTTTATTGAGGTCTATTTTGTGTCTGATTACTAAGCATTCAGGACACCAATACAAGCAAACCTTGCTCTCTGCCTTGAAATTACCCAGAGCCTAAGAAGGGAGAGTTATAGAGGAAACAAATAATTACAGTGTAATACACAGTGAACACAGAGAAACAAATAATTACAATGTAATACACAGTGAACACCGTTTATAAAACAAAGTTCTAACCCTAAGGAGTTACATAGTAGTCAAAACTAAAACATATTTTGTGTTAAAATCACAAAACATTAAGAAAATTTTAACCAATAATAAAGCACATTGCATTTTTGAGGAGAGTTAGGATGTAAGCTTGAAGAAAATTCACAGGTCATTCATAATTTTAAGTTTTTTATTTTTTTATTTTTTTATTTTTATTTTTTAAAAAGACTTATTTGTGCATACACAACTGGGGTATAAGCCAGAGAGTCAGGGGCAGCGAGAGGCTTCACCAGAGACAGAGTGGGGAGCAGAACAGGCAGATCGATGAAGTACACTGCTGAGGGGAGCAGCAGGCAGGTCAAGAGAGGTCTGCCCCTGCATTTGGTCACCTCCTGGGCAGGTGGGAATCTAACTCATGCTGAAGTGGCTTTAGCTTCTTAGTGCTATGCTTTAACCCACTGCACCACCAAGGAGGGCTGTTATTTTTATTTTTTAAGATTGCATGCAGAACTGGAGTACAGGCCAGAGGTGCAGGGGCAGTGAGAGGATTCACCAGAGCAGAACAGGATGATGTAGTGAAATCCACTGCTTAGGGAAGCAGCAGGCAAGACAGGAGAGGGCTGCTGTACCATATGGGTCACCTTCCTGGCTGGGAATAGTACTCGTGCTACCATGTCTGTGGCTAGCTTTGTGGTGCTGTGCTTTAATATATTGTGCCACCATGGAGGGCCCCTAATTTTTTTCTTTTTAATTATTTATTTATGCATACAAGAACTGCGGTACAGATCAGAGGTGTGGGGGTGAGAGGATTCACCAGAGACAGAGTGGGGAGCAGAACAGGCAGATCGACTGAAATACACTGCTGAGGGGAGCAGCAGGCATGTTCAGGAGAGGTTTGCCACACCATGTGGGTCACCTCCCTGGCCAGGGATCAAACTTGTGCTGCAGTGGCTACGATAG